GGGGGGGAGGAAGTCTATACAGCGGTGAAGGCATTGAGCAAGTCCCAGGACGACCTGAACAGATACCAAAAGTCACAGCTGAAAGGGAGTGCAGGGTGTGTGAAACGCCGAAAGAAGAGAAGGAGATCGTCGTAGAGGGCATCAAGAGCATCACGAAAGAGGTGCAAGTGATGAATGAACTCCGACAAGGGCTCGAACAGGTGATTGTGGACGAGGTTGCCATGAGCATATCACCAGAAGGCCAGGCAGATGCGTGCATCAGGCAGCTGAGGAGAGATGCTGTGTGGCTGGATCGAAGAATTCGAGAAGACCAACAAGAGATCACCCACATCATGAAAGCAGTGGGAACGGGAAGGAAGCAACTCGACAGGAAGCAGAGGTGTTGCAGACCTATCTGGTCGGAACGAAACAGATCCTCGAGGAGAGAGATTTGTGGATTCCCCCGGTGGGGAGTGAGGTTATGGTGTTGGAAAATACTGGCACACTAGTGAGGAAGACGCCTGAGGAGGTGAAGGCACTGGTGCAATCAGGCATCTACATTGAGATCATCCCGGGCAAGCTACTGTGCAGTCGGAAGGCACCATGTGGAAGAAGAAAGGCAAGGATTGTGGGGTGTGGAAAATTTTGGCACACCTGATGAGACGGTGACAACATCAATAGGAGGCATCGATGCAGTGGCACTGAGGGTCCTGATGATGGTCGCAAGCCAGAGGGGCTGGACATGTGGTTCCACAGACATCAAAAGTGCGTTCTTGCAGGCACCAAAGAGAAGTGCAGCGCATCGGGTGACCCTCGTGAAACCACCTCAGCTAGTGACCCAGTTAGGGGTCGTGCCACCTGGAACAATGTGGGCGGCAGAGGGTGCTTTGTATGGGTTGAGAGAGTCGCCAGAGGACTGGACTTGCCATCGCAATCAGTGCCTGAGAGGAGCGACATGGAGCTGCAATGGACAGGCACGACGAATGGAGCAGTTGGCGGAGGCCAATGTGTGGAAGATTGTGAACCTAGATGGTGAAGTGAAAGCCCACTTGGGGACGTATGTGGACGACCTGATCATGGTGGGGCCAACAGAGGAAGTTAGATCTGTGCTCCGCAAGGTGGAGGCCATCTGGGAGTGCTCGGGCAGCCAAGTGCTCGAGAAAGAAGGACAGGAGCTGAAGTTTTGCGGGTTCCAAGTGCTTCGAACAAGCAACGGCTACAAGCTGCACCAAGGAGACTACATCCGGGACCTCTGTGACAAGAAGGAGGTTACGGGCCCATCAGTGTGGAAGGGAACGGTTCTCCAGGAGGCGGAGGATGAGCAGTTTGATATCGCAACATTGAGGGAGGCACAGACCCTCGTTGGAGAACTCCAGTGGGTCACGTGCAGGAGCAGGCCGGATGTCTGTCATGCCACAGGAGTCCTAAGCCGAACAATGCACCGTCGCCCGAGAGAAGTATGTGAACAGGCAAGAGCAATCCTGACGTACTTGAAGGACACTGCTGATCGTGGCCTTAACTTCCGGAAGGCAGGTGAACACCCACTGGGCGAGAAAGAAGAGCTTAAGTTTCCAAGGGGAGAAGCTGACGTTGAAGCATATGCAGATGCATCATTTGCACCAGCAGCAGAGGCTTACAGGTCCGTTCACGGGACGATCGTGATGGTAGTGTCCCATCTTGTGGAGCTCGGCGAGACAGCCATTCATCACGGGCTCAACAGCGGAAGCGGAGTTGGTGGCCTACACGGAGGTCTTCCAACAGGCTGAAGGGGTGGCAACATTGCTCGAAGCCCTGGGCATTGAAAATGTGAGGAGGTCACTATATGGGGACAATCAGAGTGCATTGGCACTGTGTCAGGGTGATGTGGGTGCGTGGAGGACTCGCCATCTTCGACTACGTGCAGCAGGCCTAAGGGCGGCGGTGGGATGTGAAGTCAGTGGCTGGTACACACATCATGTCAAGGGGACAGAACTCCCAGCTGATGGACTCACGAAACAACTTTTGGGGCCGTTTGATTCATTCGTCAACCAGATCGCGATGAAGGAGAACCACGGCGGGAGCCAGACACAGGTGAAGGCAATGGCTGTGAAGCAGCGGGAGTGCCAAGCAGAGGATGATTGGATCATCATAAAAGGGGAATTGGCAGTCCTGTGTGCAGCAGCGCTCTTTGCAAGTGGGGCTGAATCGCAGCTGGTAGACTTGGTGGCGCTTGCACTCATGTTGGCAGGAGTCACCTGGTTGAGGAAGATTCAGAAAAAATGGGATAGGGAAGATGAACCATCCCTGGGGGGACCTGCTCCCAAGGCAAGGGAAACCGCCATGAGGGCACGAAATGAACCCATACACAAAAGAAAAGAGAACATCGGACCAGACCAGAAGAAAAGTGGCGAGGGCCCAAAATGAACCCGCCAGGGGAACCCATCCTCCTGACAGTAGCCCAACGGGCTCCCGACAGGGTCAGAGTGGTGACCATAAGGCTACAACGCGCCCGCGAGCCATGGTGAGAATGCTGCAAGCGGATGATGGAGGCCCACCGAGGGCAAGGCCGCATGAGCCATGGTGGCATCCTCCATTCCATGTCCCTCCAACAGGCACCACAGACCGGTGGCAGGTGGTGGAGAACTTTGTGGCGAGGGTCCACTGCAAGATGAGGTATCAGAGGTGCCATCCAATCCACAGCTCGTATCCACTGCGGGATGAACAGATTCTGACGGGCAGGAGGGTGACCATCAAATACATTGGTGGAGAACAACCAGGCCGACCCTCGGAAGACTCGTGGATTGAGCCGTCAACAAGGGAGAGCCGGATGAACAACAAGATTGAGGGGAGGTGGATGGCTAAACATTCTTTGAACTGCACAGCCCGACGCATGGAGCAAAAGCAGCGAGCTACTATGTGGGCACAAGGCCAGTTGGGGAGTGGGCTCGACAAGAGCACACACTCCCTCCACACCTTCGCATTCCGGAAGACATGAGGGCTGAAGCAGCAGCTGATCTACGCCATCAACGAGTACATGATCCTGTGGGCACTGGGATGACGACAGAAAGGACTGCAAGGTCTTCGGCAAGCACGGATGGACCAATGTGGGTGGAAGAGAGACCACCGATCAACTCAACGGCAAGCGCATCAACAGCGCTGCTACCAGGTGCAAGGACGAAGACAGCAGGGAGGATTGGGAAACCCCCTCCTCCCATGCCGCCCATGGAGCGATGGACGGGACTTCCAGAGGGGCTGAGGTTGGCGCTGCAGGCCCTGACAGACTCAGAGCGAGACTGGGAGAGACCACCCGGATCTGAACCCATTTATTGGGTGCAGGTCGGAAATCGCATGTTCCATCGGAACGACCTGATGAGGCAGGCCATCATGATGGAGCAGCAGCCAGATGTTGAAGTTCCTCAACTACAACTGACCCTGGTTGAAGGGCGCACGGACAATGGAACGCCGTGTTACATTGCAACGGCAGCGCCAGAAGGGGGATCAAGTGGAAGTGGCACGATCTCGTCAACACTTCCCACGGTCACGACGGATTGGTCGACCCCAGACTCCACAAGGGTGCAAGCAGATGGCAGCTTGGGAAGTGCAGCCTCGGCATGCCAAGGTCAACACCCACAAGGTGGAAGTGGACAGCAGCCGAAAGCGATGGCGCCGAGCCCGCGGCCGCCCCCAGGCTTGCAGCAGGAGGCTACAAGTGCCTATGGAATGTTGATGGAGGCAAACCAGACCCCATCCCTGAGTGGAAGTGCGGAGTCACCGTATGTGTTCGACTGGCCGGACGATGACCGGATCAGTTGGAGCAGACTAGAAGAGGACAACACGTCCTAGGGCCTTGAGCTGTCAAATTCGCGCAAGACGCGAAGGGGGAGTGTAACGCATAAAGCATGCACTCGTTTTTCTAGACGTGAGACCATGTCACTGGCCTACCACAGGCCCTTTTGTGTTCAAGCAGAAACATGCGCGACTCTGCCTGCGTTTGCAATACCAAACCACGGTTTACGCCAACCACCGTTTGCGCCACACCACGTTTTGACACCAACCACCGTTTACACCGAACCACTGTCTACAAAGACTACATTGCTATGCACATATCACAAGAAAATATGCACCAGCATAGACCCCAGATAGCAAGGCAAAAACATGCAAAACAAATTTTTCTGGACTGCACCCTGCATTGGCAGCAGCTCCTAGGTGTCTGAACTATTGCATTCGCGCTAACTTTGGTTACTGTCGCAGAATCAAGTTCAGTAATCAGTTGGGTAAAGTTGATCTGCCTCATGGCGGTGCAAAGCCAGCTCAGATTCCGAATTGTTGGATAAATAAACCGTCGAACAATTTCTGGTCTCAATCATGTGGGAAGAAAGTCCAAAAGTAATGTCACTTAGAACGCTTGGCTACCAAAAGCCTGCTAAGCCAGGATGCCAGAAGCCCACCCAGTACCAACAGCACTGGCAACCCAGCCAGCATCTTCGACATCCGCTTCCAAAACAACACTCTGTCAAACTCTAAAAGTACATCATCTTTACTTGGGCGCCCCACAAGGACAGGACAGCATGGACCACAGACTGTGGAGACCTGGAAGATTGCGCGGTCACTGGAGGGAACTCAAGGTTGAAGAGGCGATGGATAATCCCTACTGAGCAGGATCATGTTCACTTGCGCAATGGGTTTAGAGCAAACCCACATCTTGCGCGCTAGCGAGATTTGCTATGTCCCATGCCTCAATGAATCAACAACACGTGCCCGGATTGTCAACTTAGAGCATTCAGGCCGACCACTAGCGCCATGAGACTCTGGTGGCAAAACTTTCTGGTTTCAACAGCTGACCCCGAATGGCGCGACCTCATCAGCTCGTTGAAAAGAAGCCCTGCACCCGTGGCCAAGTGCCTGCAATTGAACACCAGGATGCGCTTGGGCCGGTCGTGGACGGGAATCAATATGAAAGAATGTTTGTTTCCAAAACCGTTCCTATAAAGGAGTAGTGTCTAGTCCATTTCGGAATTATTCAGCGTTTTTCACGTAGGTGCCACGTCTCTGATTGTTTGACCCAGGAACGTCCAGATCAGAATTGGTCTCCGTCTGTGTTAGCACCCTCGCCTGCGGTCTGGCGCTGGCACAGTCTCTGGGGGCACGCTGAGGAGATCGGAAGGCGACTGCCATGGCCCAGGCCTCAAGGTGCATTCTTATGCTGCCTAAGTTTGAAGGTTCCGAGATAGGTTATCATACCTCCACGCAGATACATGCCGGAGTCTTTGCAAAGGCGGTCAGCCATGTGAGCATTCACGCGTCTTTACTTTGACTTGCTTGTCTGTCAGCAGTAGTGCATGGGAAGTTCGGGCTCAAAATGCACATGTTAAACGATAGTTTCACTGATCCATATTCAGTGATTCCGGATTCGTTCTCAATCAGTTTCGAAATTTTGAAGGCGAATGCACCAAACATAGGCTGAGAAGAATAGATTTATATAAACTAGACCAAACAGCGTAAAACTTGGCATCTCATTTCTTCTCACAGTTCCGGGTTGGTTCAGTTTGGTCGGCTAGTCGGCTAGTGGCTGGTTTTGGGGGACTTGAATAGGGAGTTTAAAAAGGATCAAGTGACGGTCACTTGAAAAAAGAATATATAAACATCAACCAAGGCAGGGCTTTTATCTACAAGAGCGCGTACACTATTGCAACAAAAGACTACAGCACTGCGGAAGTGATTGAACGAATGGAAAACCGCTGCGCTGCCGAGAACGCAGTTCACAATCAGTATACAGACTGAATTGTTGAGAGAGTGCTGCTTCATAGATAGCTAGACGCAATGATTACGCAATGAAATTTTCACACTGTAGTGCGGACGCGCATTGCAGCTTGCAGCACGATTCATCAGTTGCAAGGAGTGTGTGCACAGCCTGACGGGGCTGACCTCCAACTGACCAGCGCCACTGCCGTCTCTTCGCCATCGGAGATCATCCCACCAAACCAAGGGCCGAAGCTTTATCGACCCGATGTGTTGAAGGTGATATCAGATCAATGTCCATCTGCAAACCAAATTTTCGCCAAGTCATGTACCAGTTCATGTACCACTTGCCCCGCGAAGCCTTTCACAAGGGACCCTACCGCAAGCTATCGAAAGCACAGCGGCTACTGCGACAGCCGTGAGTTCCTCCTTCTGCGTGTCTGGAACTGATTGGCCCCAGCCCGCAAGAAGGCGCCGCACGTTGCAAGCCACAGTGTTTGCCCAGTACTCTGACAACACCATGCTCCGGCAACTTGGCATGGCCTGCTCTTCTGCCAGTTTGGAATCCTTTAGAAGCGGTCCGCAGGCATAGCCGCCTCGACCACAAACAGGGCCTGAAGGATCGACTGAATGGTGAAGTCTGCTTCAGGGTCATTTCAACTCCTGCGATGAAATTACTTTCTTTTGGTGGGCAGTTCCAGCTCCAGTTCCAACTTGGTGGCAGTTCCAGTTCCAGTTCTAGATCCCATTCCAGATCCAGTTCCAGTGGTCAGATCAGTTCCTTTTTTTGGGTGGAGTAAAATCTACTTCCAAATCCAATTTCAATTCTAGATCCAGTCCCAGATCCAAGTGGGGGAGGTCCAGTTCCAGTTGTAGATCCAGTTCCAGTTGTCACCTGAATGCCTATGATGAACTTGATATTTTTGTTGGGGGGAGACCCAGTTCTAGTCCCAGATTGAGTTGCGATTCCATTTCCTCTGATAAAGGAAATATATTAGTTGTTGTCTTTTTTGGGGGGTCGGGGTGGAGTTCCAGTTCCTGATCCAGCTCCAGTGGGGAACACTGTGCATCTTCCTGAAGAACGTGTCTGCACTTGATTGCGCGCCGCGGTATGTGGAACACATACCTTGACGAAGCACGCGCTCTCTTTAAATAATTACATTAGCATAAAACAATCAGATAGGGTCTCAGCTCTATTCTGTTGGTTTGTTCAAGGGGTAGTTGGGGGCATCCGTATTTCACTGTTAGCAGTGAAATTCTTGGATACGAAAGCTAGGGGCTGCGAAGATCAAATACCGTCCTAGACAGCCGTAACCAAAAACCATGCCAACTCGAGATTGGAGGTCGTTACTTCATGCCTCTTTCAGCGCCTTGGCGGGGAAGCTTGGGGCAATAACAGCTCTGCGATGCCCTCAAACATCCTGGGCTGCGCGCGCTACACTGATGCGCTCAAGGAGTTTGCGTGATAGGGATAGATCATCGCAAATATTACAGTAATTCAGCGAGGAGTTCCGAGCAAGCGCAAGCCATCAGCTCTTGCTAATTGCATCCCTGCCCCTTGTGCACACCGCCCGCTCTTACCAATAACTCGACTGACGCAGTGCTCGGCTCTTATCACTTAGAGGAAAAGACGTCATAACATGTTATAACAAGGTTTCCGTAGGTGAGCCTGCGAAAGCATCTGCTTATTACACATGAACCGTGAACCACTACTCTGAGGCACTGGAACTCAAGGGCTGCAGTGGCATACTCGCGCGCGCCTATGGCATTTGCTATCGGCCGGCGCTAGACTGAATGATCCAGTCTGCTAATCACAACTTTCAGCGACGGATATCTCGGCTGAGGCACCTATGAAGGGCGCAGCGAAGTGCGATAGTCCCTTGAACGCGCATTGCCTTCTTGGGAATTCCTTGGAGTATGTATGATTTAGATCTACAGTAATTTTTCCGTGAACTTGCCTCAGGGGACCCCGTCGCACTCGCCCGTCTGGGCAGCCGGCTCAAACAGCACCGCGTCAAGGATCACCTGCACGCTGCCAGATCCAACGACATTCCGAGAGATTATACACGAGCTTGATGTGCCAGAGGAGCAGGGGCGGAAGCAACTACTGTAGGGGGCGTTCAAGGTTTTCTGCTGAAATGCATATTGCATGTGTATGTAAATCACTGCTCATCGCCAACTGGCAGCTAAGCAGCCCAAAGCACCACTTCGAGATTGAAAGGAGCACAAAAAATCCTTCAAGCTCGCTGACGGCACAGTGCTCCTCAACTCCGTTCCCCAAGCCATGCATTGTTCAAACGCAGCCCCACTGATATGCTCTGCAGAGTTGCGCCTTCAAGCCCTGCCTAGAAAAGAAGAAATCATTTAAGCACTTGAAGCTGCAGGCTGTAACCGTGATCTAAAGCTGCCCTGTTCAATTGAAATTCACATGAGATGTCCCTGAGTCACAGCACATGGCAATTTGCAATAGTATACCTGCAATGTTGTGCAAAATGACTGTCAGCTCTCAAGCATATCGCCCGTGGGAGAGTCTGATAGAGTGCAGCACCCGCAGAAAGATAATGTCAGAGCAACTTCAAGACTCACATCGAACAGTCCTGCACATGCAAGGGTCTCTTTAATGAATGGACACATGTTCAACATCCTTCGATGGCTTCTCTGTGAGGTTTGCACAGGTACAGTGCCAAAATCCAGTTGACACCAGCCCGCAAATGTGAGAGTCGGAGATGGACAAAGCTTGGCACGTGGCACGTGACGGTGAGAATGTGATGGACAAAAACTGCACTTGCACTTGTACCATTGAGGTGGCTGTCCATTCTACGCCTCTCGAGTCACCTCCCGAGCCAGACATGATGTCTTTTTCCGTGCTCACGCACATGGAGGTCCTCAACATATCGCACCAACAGAAAAATGCCACACTTCTAGGAAGGTCCGGCGTGCTTCGCTCGTTTCACATGAGCCCGCATGCAGCCAGTTATCGATTCATCTGGCCACCGGGCCTGTAATTATTACAGTATATACAGCATGTCATTCCCCATGATCGAGCTGATTGAGTTCCACAAGGTGTGGATGTGTTGATACATGTGTTACCGTCAGGGTGTGGAAATAGAATCTGTGATCACGTGTAACCATTAGTTCGTGTGCATGCCACTTTATCAGCACCCTCAGGTCGCCATCACAAGCTGCAATGTTCGAACGAGACCCACCTGATTCTATGGTGCAGGACTGGTCCAATCTTGCTGCTTGCCGAAGCATGTTTGACTTAGCTCACATCGACCATGCGCCGGAGAAACAGGCTCTGGCAGACTCAGCTGCAGGGCAGCGATCCACGCATTGGAGAGCAGCGGGCAACTATCAGCGCAGGAGAGTGGGGGTCAGCAAAGAAGACGGCAGCAATGGGAGCGGCAAAGATGTGATCTGGGCATTGCAGAAGTATTGTTATATAATGATGAAAGAATATTTGTAGCAAAGCTATCTGGCAATCCCAGAGTCTACAAGTACCGGGCAGTCACAACTAATGGTCATCCCAGCCTGTAGCTGAGGCTCGCGTAGAGCAGAGGCACGGTGCCCTAGGCGGACGAGGAGTCCAGAAGTAGACAGAGGTATCTATATATATATATATAGCTGCAAGAAGTGTCTACAGTAAGTGCAAAAATATCGAACAGACCACAAACAAAAACAATATGCTAACACGCCGCCCACAAGCTAGTGAAGTCGTTTGAAGCTTGTGCCGGGGCCTGAAACCTGGCTAGGGCTAAGTATGTGCCTTGCTGCGATCTTGCAGAAAATACCTCATCTTACATGCTCGGATCTAAAAAATAATTTGTCAAGGTTCCGCTTACATTGTTGATTATCACAAGTCACAAGACCTTTGGGAGGGTTCCTTGTTTTGAAACAAAGGGGGCTGTGGGATCTCATGTGTTCAGATATTGTCAGGTAATACATCCTTGTCTTGCTGTGGAGCCACTGGGGTTGTGGGTTAGTGATTTACTGCTTGGGTCTTCTAATCAAACACGGTACTGTGGGGAGAGGTCCAGTTTTGCCACCGCCTTGGTCGCCCCAACGGTCTGCGAAGAAGCCCAGCACCAAAGGAATCCTCAAGTACGGCCTTGGGCAAAGCAAGGTCCGGTCCAGCCATTTGCTGGATGTGCCCATCCATCCAACCATTTCCCTTACTGCTGCCTTCCCGCTGCAGCAGCATTTGCCCCGCCCAGTACAGTAAGCCTTCTTTGGGCTCCTTTGGAGCCAGAACTTGCGAGCACGGCTCTCAAAATGAGCCACCGTCACATCCAGAGGTGAGATGGCGCAAGAAATCCATACTACATGCAGAAAGACAAGCTCGCTTTCTAAACAAAAGGATTCACATGTACCATGTACCAGTATATGAGCCTACATCTGCAACCCCTTTAACGATGCTCAGGCCACTGGCCCTCCATCTACGTCCATTTCTTCACCATCTCCCTGTTCAGGAATGGGCGTGCTGCCAATCGGGCAAACGGTCACATATTGGAAGTAAAAGGTGAAGTCCTGCCGGGATGCGATGTTGTTTGCCATCCTTTACCCCGGCTCCTGCCTTGTGTGGTGGCTTCAGTGGCTCAATTAATTGCTCATCCCAGTGCACCTGGAGCTTTTCGGAAACCCAAAACGAGGAAACCTCAACCCTGGCGTCCTCAAACGACATCCAAAAGCTGCCATCATCCTGAAAGGCGAAGAGCGCGAGTTTTGACAGTGAAGGCCTAGCCTTCCAGGTAAGAACCTTGAAAGACCAACATGAATCATCATGAATCAACATTACATATACAATTAACTCAGACCTCTCAGACACGCAAGCGGGGGTCCAAGCCCGAGTCCTTGCAAAGCACATTCACGCGTTTGCGGAGCTCAGGATTCTCATGCCAGTCATTCGCTCCAAAGTAATCATTCCAGGCACCGTTCCACTCGTTCTTGCCATGCGGATTGCGCAGCTGAATGAGACATACTGGTGTCCCATTGTCCTTCTTTTCGAAGACTAGCCTGGTGATAGAGTATGCATGGACGGTGATGAGCCCATTATCAAGTACCTTGTACTTCTCTCCGTGCGTTGTGTCCGTCCAGGTCGCCACAACCTCATTTGGACACTTGATACTTGGACCTCAATACTGCCCCAGAACATGGAGACACAACGGAACCTAGTACCCAACTCATCCATGAACTAGTCGTTTTGGCTCAGGGGCATGTTTGCCCTCCAAAAGGCCTTGGATCGTCTGTGCGAAGCTCTCCTCGTTTATAGCTTGGATATTTTCCTTCCAACGAATGCAACGGGGGTTGCTTCGCCGCCAATACGCAGGATTCATCGACCTTCTGCGCCACGTCTTCTCCTTGGTCTTGTTGTACTGGATCGGCTCCTGTCAAAGGTTGGAACCTTTCCTCTCTGTTAGGTGAAATCCCTGCGCCGCTCCGCACAATGTGTGACAGCTCTCGTACTCTCCTTGCCAGTCATTGCCTTAAAGGCCCAGCTTGGGAAGCCCCCAACGATATGTTGATAGCCTCCACACAACTTGGCAAAGGCCTTCTCCAGCAACAGAACCCAAATCCTTGGAGAAGCGTCTAAAAGTTATATCACTTACGTTACAACGCGTGGAAGAAAAGAGCTTGGATAGTTTCATTTATTACAGTTGCCGTAATGTCAAAACAAACAATAGCTGGAGCGGGAAGGATTGACACCGCAGGAGTTGTAACTCCGTTTGAATGATCCACCATCTTGATCTTTCTTTGTTCAGTCAGTTATATTTCTACGACATCTATGTCCATTGAAAACACGCGCACACACACACATATATATATATATATACATAATCATAATACAATATATGTATCGCGTTATGTAATCTTCTATGCTTCGATGCAGGAAGGGTGAGAGGCCAACCAGGAGTAAATCAAAGCGGAGAATCTCTTCGCTCTTTGGCCTGGCAAACAAAGGCTTCGGACCTCCGTGGCACATCAGGCAGGGAATGAATTCATCGATGGTAATGGTCATCCATTTCTCACCCTCAACGTCATAGAGGAAAATATCACCTCAGCGGCACAGGTGGAGGGCTGGACTAGGTCTCGGAGACTTGCGGCCACAAAGAGCAAGAGCCACAAGTTCAGATGACTCATATGCTTGATTTGTTGTTATTCTGATATTATTCTTACCTCCTTCTCTCCTTCCTTTTCTTTCTTGCAACCCACAGTTCCATGCTCAGGTGCATTGGCCGTCCTCCGTCAGGTGTTTCTCCTTGAAGAGGCTCTTCAGCTTTGAGGGATGGGTGGCCATGCAGGCGATTGAACTCATCAGCCAACAATCTCCCACGAATCCTGTCAAACCGCTCAAAGTGCTGTTGCCTGGATGTCTGACGATGTCTACATGCATAGTGTAATGCATCTGCACACGCCCGCCCTCCCCTCAAAGATACTCAAAACACATCAGACTCTTCAGACCTTGAACGATGTCTTGAGGTCGGACTTGATCAAACAGGACGGCTTCGTTGGGACTTCCGATCATCCGAGCCCTGTGCCACTCTTCCCAGCCCTGTGCCAGCTTGCTCCCCAGGACTGAGGCGTCATGAGGGAAGTCGGCATCTTTGAAGGCGTTCCTGGGTGGTGAATCGGGATCTTCCAACTTGGTGACTTCACTAATATGCACTTTATAGGCATATTGATCCATGAACCAGCTTGTCTGAATCGCGACATGAACTGCAAAGGTTCGGATCGTCTTTCATGTTGGCAAAGTCAAAGTTGGAGCGCGCCGACCAATCCAGGTAAGCTCTCTTAAACTCCGAGGCCTTGTAAGGCCAAGGGCACGTCACTTTGTTTTCGACTTTCAACCTTTCGGTCCCACCGCAAGAATACACCCACGCTCTGATCAATGTTCCTCCTACAAACCGGACGCGCACACGCGAATGTTTCAGTTTTGCGTGTCCATCCATTGCAAATGGATACTTGCATGCAGGTGCGTGTAGGCTGACATTCGTTCAGTTTTGATGTTGATGGTCATACAAGTGCGTACCGCATGATTCTTGAAACCTCTATAGTTTTCAATGATTTCACCCTCCCTCTGTTTGACTCCTTTTCAGTGTCACACGACCGGCAAACCATCACCGGCATTGACTACACAGGGTGCATGGCTGGCACCTTTTCTTTCCATCTTTCGTTATTGATTTATTCATTTATATATTGCGTTCTATCTATCTATCTATCTATCTAGCTTTCTTATCTAATCTATATAATAATCTTATCTTATCTTATCTCATCAGTTTTAGTCTTATCTTATCTATTCTGTTCTATCCTAATCCAGTCTAATCCAATCCAATCCATCCATCCATCTATATATGTGTGTCTCTGTGTACAACAGACACAGCCTTCCCGGCATAGCAAAAGTATACACATAGGCCTTGTCATCAACCTCGATGACTCTTTTCTTGATCTGCTCACCCGGCTTCACCACAATCTCTGCAGGATTTCCCTCCAGGAACCTGGGTTTCTCAGGCCCCGCTGCCTACAACTAGTTCAAGACTTCTACTTCCGTCAGTCAACCAATAGAGTGGGCAGAACTACCCTTGAAGCCAAGGCTTGGACTTCAGGTTGCTGCCCCGACTGAAATTCAAAGTAAAGCGCTTCTCCACTGCCTCTGAGGTGTTGAGTATCACAACCTGTCAGGAGTGGCACTTCTTCAATTCACCATTGAAATGGGAATGCACTTTATATGGCAAATTTCGCAGCACATTAGAATCATGTCAGCCCTCTTCCTCTCCCCATCGCCTTAGGACGCCCTATCTACCCCAGTGCTAGCAGAAAAATCGCTCGTCGTGACTCGTCGTGCAGCATTCAGGCCACATTGGGCACGGGAACATCCGAAATTCGCTATCCTGCTAATTACTGCTATCCTGCCCAGCGAGGCTTCCCCAAGCACTTCCAACCGTGCCATGATCTTATTCGAAGCTAGAGCGTTGGCACAAAGTAGCGGTGTTCGTGTCTGTCACCCTCATCCTATAGGTGCGGAACTGCTTGGCCGAGACAAGGGGGAGAAGCAGGAGATTCAAGCGACGATGGATTCAGAGAGAGAGAGAGAGAGAGATCAGCCCGTGCAAGGATGCCCTGACATCCAGCCAAGGTGATGTTGACAGAGTTCTGGATAACAGAAACCAATTGGTCTGCAAACATTGACAGTGACGAACTCAAATCAACATCCTGGGAAGCTTTGGCATAACAGTGGACTCGTTTGCGCGTTGCAACTTATATAAAGGAGCGGTTGTCACTCCAAGACGAACCGTCAGTGTCTTCGTACCGCAAGCCTACCATGACATGAATGTGGACAACGCAATGCGAGAATGCTTCATCGTGGTGCACGATTAGCGCTGCCGATCCAAGACATTCCTGACAATCTGATCAAATTCGAGATTTAATTGAACTGAGTGCGAAATTGCCGGTCTACCCCCAGTTTCCAAATCAAATTAATGTGCCTAGCAGCCGGAGACGTCTGTCAAGAATATTGGTCAAGCTTGACCGCAAGATCCGCACCAGAAACAAAAAATGGGCCGCCCCTTGAAGGCGGGGAAATCACTACGGATTCCAAGCCAAGCCAACTCATCACATCTCTCAACTCTTTGAAGATCATGATGAAAGGGATACATGCCCTGGGCATGTAGCCACTTAATGCACATGCAAAAAATTCGTGATTGTGCCGCCGGGGGCTGTGAGCCCTTAGCGTCAGCCTCCAGCTACCAGTAACAGTGGATGATGATAGTTAGTAAAGGCCTTTCTCAAAAATAGTGATAATCTTATACCGATTGTTACTGGTCACTGGATGTCACTGGTAATGTGTTATCCGATTGAAACCAGCACTGTATGCAACACAACCGCGAAGCTACAGCACACCTCTGGAGACAGAACCGGGACTGCATAGGGCAGGTGTTTTTCCGAGTGCGACGTGTAAGAAGCAAGCGATGGTGGCACCCCATCGGGATGAAGATGTCAAGAATGTTCAACTTCACCTTTCATGGTTTTGCACAAGAAGGATGCAGTGTGTGCTATTGATGGACAAACTCCTGCACCGCTTGAACTGCCCTAGGACGTCAAGTTGGCTGGCGTCATCGGCATAATTTACCAATATTAGGGGAAAGCTTCGACGAGCACGTTCTGAGTTGCTATCAGTATCAGTTGTGCAGATGACATGCACCGATTATCTTCCAGCTGCGCCGGAGAACCATTCTGGGGCAAACGTTTCATCGGAAAGGATCGGAAACGGTATTTGGAGTCATTCCTAGTAGCTTCTTGTTACTATTATATAGTAAGGCACTTGTTACTAGTAGCGATGCACTTGTTCCTAGTAGCTTGATTTTGGTGCAAAATTGGTCCAAATCATGTAAGTGTCACCACAAACTGACCCGGCCACAGCGTCTGCCTCCCAGAAGCTCTCTGGCCCATCACCCGTGCGCTCAAGCACCACTTGCGGTTTCTCGGCCGTGAGCCATGCAAGGAACTCATGAGCTTGGATGACACCATCCTCAGGGCAGATCAGGACGAGTGCACCAAAGGATGAACGTGGGAGGGACGGCAAGATTGAAAATCTGAACAGGACTCAAGAATAGTCAGGACATACAATAAAGCCCCTGCTTCCCCCTGCTTGCTTGAAGGCCAGTCCTGATTTGTATCCGAGTCCTTGATTAAAGCATTCAATTGACCACGCGTCATGCCAAACGTCTCAAACAAAGGGATGATCTCCTCCTGGGTAAGCACTCCGTCCCCAGAAGTATCATACTTTTCGAAGAGTTTCTGCACGCGCTTCCTGGCTTCCATGGAAGTGAAGCCTCTCTTCAAGAGGATGCAGAAAACATCAAACACAAGCTGGGCCAAAATGGTCTGCGGATGACTCTTCAAGTTCAGGGCGAACCTGGAAAAGGTGATGAACTGAACAAGTGAGTTCAAGATAGTTCAACCAGTTCCACCAATTACCACAACCACAATAATTCATGAATTCTGAGACAACCTTCGATTCGATGGTATGGTTCAACCAGTCCCACCTTCATATGTTTGTGGCTTCATCTCGGTGCTAGCCTTCTTCTTTCGAAATGCACCCTCTATGGCTCTAGGCAGCCCAACGCCGTGAGGTAGCTCAGGAGCAACTCGACATCGGCCGCACCAAGAGCCTTGAAGTCTGCCCACAGATCTCTAGTGACTCTAGCGATCCAATTCAATGAGAACTGAAATCGTTGATTGCGCGACCTGAATGCAACGGACTCAGGGTTAAACCTGCATGAATCCAATAAATTAGTAGGTTAACCTGCATGTATTAGTAGTCAGTAGTCCTACAAATCGTGACAGGAAGGAGCACCCATCACTCGAATATGCCCAGTTCGGCCGCTGACAGGAAAGGTGTGCTTTTTTCCGTGTGCACGCTGGTAAGTCTTCAGCATCCAATGCCTGCGGTGTTGCGGTCGCGTCTTACCCTTTAACGTTCTACTTGGGTGCGCACAATGAACAATCCACATCTCACTCCATCTCACTTGTCCAGAATCCCCATACACCCCGAGACATTGCTTTGTCTTAGTTAAAGCCCGCTCCGCCCCCTGCCTACTTAATTAATTAGGCGCCTACTTAAGGGACTCTAGTAAGCTACTAGGTAGGACGCACTATGGGCTGGGGGAGCTTCCTTGAAGAAGCGCCTATTTGTGTGGTTCCTGGATTTTAGGGGAGCTTAACTTATAAAGTGCCCGTAGATCCCCATGTTCCCAAATCCCTTCGCCTCTCATTCTGTGAAGCACCGAGCATGCCCCAGCAGCCACTGGCACACCTGCGTAGCAATCTCATGCTCTGTCTGGCTCCTCTTGTCAGGATGCCACCTCAGCACCCGGGGCAAATCCACGGGTCCTTTAGGCAACAGCACTGAAACCGTAGTATGGGCGTGGCTGTCAGAGGAAGGTCGATATGAAAGGAATGTATCTTATGTTCATGTTGTTGAATTGTGCGAGGGCTGTAGCCGTAGCCGGCCACAGGCACTGCCCTTGTAATGTCTTCAGCACACTTGCATCTTGCAAGCATTTGTCAGTGAGGTGGGTGGCTTTGTTCAGTAAACAAACTGTGAAGCTTGATTGGTGTGCGTGAGCAAGCCCAACAACAAACTGAGGCACTCCAGCATCATCTGCCTGAAAAGTCGGCTTCGTTCACCAACACTTGCCCTCCTGGGCTGAGCACGCATAAGGCTACCCCCTCTTACCCGTGCATGTGCGTTAGACAGTGTCAGAAGATCTCAGAAGGCTTCAAAGCACCAAGAAAGCAACCACGTCAGACGTTAGGGTTCTTGTCAACAGAATTGCAAAGGTCATAGTCATAACCTGTCAAAGATTGAACATTCGTAGTACTTAACCTGTCAAAGCATTGAACATTCGTATTACTTGCTCACTCTTTGCGAAAGACAGCAGCGGCCACCTCTTAAACCATCTCAAACCTCTTGCACTCCGCGCCTGTGCTGCTGCATGCGCTCCAGGAGGGGCAAACAAGCGGCACCCAGCACACCGCCAGGCGGCGCCGGCAACGCGGCCTCAGCTGGGGCAGCATCCCGTGGCCACGGCGGCACAGCGCACTTGGCCTCGAATCCGAATCCGTATGCACTGAGTCTATCTCTCTCTCTCTCTGCCTCTCTCTGCCTCTCTCTGTGCAAAGTCTAAGCGATTGAGGTGGATGTCACCAGGTGGCTGCAGGTTTGGCACCCATTGCGAGCAGCTTCTCCACCAGTGGACTCCGCACCTGCTTCGCCATGTCCAGAACAGTGAAGTGCTTGTACGGCCCAAATTCGTGCAAACCGCAGCACACCACGTTCCTGAGTAAATTGGTGTGTTTTTGCAGAAGCATGGACATTGTCGGCAGTGCAGTTTCTGACCCTCAATCCGAGAGGCACATCTGTGTACTTGTGCATCAGCAGCATCTCACAAATCTTGTGGTTCATCTCCATGCAGGCTGCAACGAGGCCCGTGTACTCCTCTCAGCTGCTTGCTAAACGTTAGCCAGACCCTGACACATTGTGTTTTTGGTTCCTTTGCCGACTCCCTCTACATGAGCTGAAGGGAAGTGGCTCGCTCTTCAAATTTCCAGAATCGAAAAATCTTCAGTCTCAGACTGACCTGGCCATAAAGCCCAATCCTCCCAACTGATGGCACATTGGCAACACCCATCACCTCAGGGCACAAGTGAATGAGCCATAAGCCACAAGAGATTCTGATTGCTGACATCCAAACAAAGATATATTTTATTTTTTTTTGCCGATTACTGTGCTCCAGCATCATACTGACAGCCGAGAGTCTTCCCTTGAGACGCTCCTCCCGCACCCAAATGCTATTGGGATCTGCCCCAGCTCTGAGGAGTTCCTTGACAAAGGGTCCAGAGACTCGTCTAAGGTCAAAAAAAATCATTAGGAAACTAAGCATCAAGATTGCGTTGAAGCTGAGGGAAACAGCTTTTGGTGTTCCAAGTCAACAAGAGTCAAGAAGGCCTCATCTGAGTCTTTGTCTTTGCGAGTTTCCCCACTCAAGCTACCATCAGGCTTACCATCACAGCCAGTCCTCCACCTTCTTCTCGTCTCCCTCAAAGGCCGCTTGCACCAGCTCGGGGCAAACGCTGCTCAAAGTGCCTTCTTGTTCCAGTTGCTGCTGGAGCTCTTCTGCACTCGGGATTTCTGGCGTATCCTCCGGCGCTGCTAAAGGTACCGGGTCCGGCGGCACCAGCACATCATCCGTGAACCGCCCTTCTTGGCCCACCACTCCTCGAGCAGGGCCAGGTGGGGGAGCATCAGCCGGATCAGCAAAAGGATCCCAATCGTCCATCACAATGGCGGTTGGAGTATCAAGATGCGACAAAATACTTGTCTAAGCCATGGGCAGAACAACTCGCATGATGGACTAAATGTGCAAAGTTCTGACAGAATAGCTTTGCAGTGAAAGACATATATAAACATATACAATAAGGAGGCCATGCAAACGTTGGACATGCGATTGATGTACGCTCCCTTTTGAGCAGTCGGACTCAGTCGAGCAGATTGTGCGGGCAGATCATCGGTTTAGCAATACAGCTGTGCTAAACTCTCCAAGGGCGTGGCTCCATTGAAACTGGGCAGCTCCTTCAAGAAGAGCACATCATCCTGCACATATTAATGGTTCAATCATTGTTCAACTATATACTGTACTGCCAAACGTACAGAAAAACACCGCGATTGGGTCCTCATTATTCACCAGCTCTTGGGACGATCCAGTGAGTACCTTGATTGCACGAAGGCCACACATCCATCGAGCATTCTTGGCTTTAGCAACCTTGAATCTGAATGTCCCACTTTACATCCTTCAAAGACTGGTTCAAATTTGACACATGAAGTTCAACCAGGATCACCTACAACAGCTCCCGGTCGCACAGATGGGCTTGCACGACTGAGGCTCTTCTTGTCTGACTCGTATTGGCCGAACCTGAGGCCCCCCAGGACTTGACAAGTGACAAGTCCCTGGAACGTCTCTACTTTGCTCCTAGTAGCTTCTTGTTCCTAGTAGTAATGCCAGGAGCTACTAGTAGCTTCTTGCTCCTAGTAGCGATGCCCTTTGTTCGCAGTAGCTTCTTGCTATAGAATTACTACTGTGCACATATGTTGTGGTTATGAATCATGATGGTACATCCGAACTCGACTGCAAAAGGAATTCCTCGAAGCTTTCGCCCGAGTCCCACACCAGCGCAACACTCCTTGCAAAAAGCCTGGTTTGCTGGCCTTGGCCTGACACATCTGTCAATCCCTTCCTTGAATCCGGATGCGCTGATTCATGCTTATCTACGGCCGGCGTGTTTGCAAGAATAAAATAGAAATAGTTATGTTTCATATGTTGTTCCTTCAATACAACGAATACGTTCTCTACTTATCTTTGCTTGCTCTTCTCAAAACTGCTTTGTAGCGAAAGCGGTCTTCCCAACTCACAGGGCTCCCCTCAACATCGCATTGAACACACTTCAAGCCCGTTGCTTCTCAATCAATTGGCTTGAACTAAAAAAGGTTGTGGAGCAGGCAAAACTGCTCCCACAAAAGTGGATGTTTCAAAACACTGTTTCAAGCACTTTGGATTGGCTTGCGTTGAAGCTGGAACAAAACCTCTAAAGTGGTCGTTCCAGTGCCCAGGCAGCACCAAATCTTCCATGAATCTCCACAGTCAAAGCTCCTCTGGCGTCAAGGTGGTCTGAAAGCCGATGACTTCGAAGCGACCCTTCCTGATGCTGACTCGGCCATGCTCAAACTCAGCCCTGGAATTCCACCCATCTACAAACATCAGAATCCGACTTAGACTCTCCAGATCATGACAGTTATTCTATGTGTTATTACACTCTTCCTCATTGTCTGCTTCATACCCTCAGTAGCCAAGCTCCCCAACTTGTACTGCCACTTCAGAGATGAATCAGAGGCGCGCCTAAGCGGGGATAGATTTGGTCGTGCTGAACAAACTGGCCAAACGTTTACACTCTGAGTTCCACACCATTTCTGCACCGCTGGGCACTGGCATGCTGGAAGAAGCAGCCTTCCGACTTCCACATAAAGCTTCGGGGTTCAGCATCATCTGCGTCAGGAGAGCCAGGTGTGTCTTTCAAATAAGCTGGCCCCATGGCTGAAAAAGAGCTACACCAGTTCGTTTATACAATGCAATTCTGAGTGCATTCTTTCAGGACACCCAGTGTCACTGCAGCCAAGCACCCGGCATCTTCCAAAGGAACACTGTGTCCCGAAACCAAGCCAGCTCTGGGAAAAGCTCCAAGCTTAGTTGGAGAAGCTCAGCGGAGTGAGTTGGTGACTTCCAGGACTTCCAAGCATTGCTGGGGTCCTGTGCCTACAGTGACAAGTGTACCGTGCAACGAGCTTGGGTTGGTTTCAGCGATGGTTCAGCACTTACAGCACCGCAGGCCAAAGGGTTTGCATTGAAACGCTCTGCCTGAAGCAGTGCCAATTAATGGGGCCTCCAACATAAAGAACCCTCCGGCTGGAAGATCCATATTCATGATGTGCAAACCAGGCAATGTTCAAAGGCAAGGAGCCCCTAGTAGCGTCCTTGCTCCTAGTAGTAAGGCCAGGAGCCCCTAGTAATAGTAGCATTCTTGCTCCTAGTAGCGATGCCAGGAGCCCCTAGTAGCGAACCTTGTTCCTAGTCTATCTCGCCGACTAGGTGACCCGAACAGCTCTGGGCGCTCTCCCGTCAAGAGCTGGGGCGCTTCTCGCCGAGCAGCATCCAGGCCTCCCAATCTCCCACACCGAGCAAGGAACAACTGGAGGACCGTGTGCCCCCTGCTTTGTATGAATCTTGGTCATCTCTTTAAGTCAAGTTAACTTCATCATACTTAATCAAAAAATTAACCTGTACTCCCAATAGTTTCCAAACCTCAAAGAAATTCAAAATCAAAGTTGGCAGTTGGAATGTTGTTGGCTTGTTGGCCTTCCGACTATATACAATGTCCATATCCGCCTTGCGCCCGCCCGACAACACCTCCAAGTGCCCTTGATATGTTTTCTATATACACAGGTGTGTGGGACAATCAACTCATTACTGCAACTAGATTCTTAGATCGATGCAGCTGCATGTAACTGAAAGCACTTCCCAGGTGTCAAGCGCACCCAGGCACAGTCCGATCTGCTCAACAAGCTCGCAGTCGCCTGTGAGCATCGGGCAGGTGGGGACTGTTGTCTTACACAAAGGCAAAAAGAAAACCGCCTCATTCAACACAACTTGCTAAGCCTTCACCACACATCATGCCCTTGTCGAAAGAGAAGATCATGTGATCATTTGTCACGCATCTGCTGATGCCTGAGGAACATTGAGAAATCATTAAACACAGTTGTGCGTTTGTCAGTTCTTCTCAAAACACGACACTCCTAAGCATCTGACTGTCAAAATAATCCAGTACAAGCGTTCGCCTCGATCCAAGCTCTAAAAGCGGATCACAAAACATGCATGTGTTTGCTCCCCCGCTGCTTTCGTTGCATCAGCATCTCTCACTCTGCCCCTGAAGACCTCGGACCCTGAGGCATATGAGATCATATGAGGCATGGACAAAGCTTGGTATTCTGGAGCTACCTTGGCATCTCAAATGCGCAAGCAACTACGACACCCAACCACCAACACTTTGCTTTTCACACCTCGAAGCACACCATGAGTCCAGGAGCCACACCAAAAGCAACGTCTCGGAAGCCTCTTGGAAGGCGCCTGGCTCGACACCTTGCGCGATCAAGAATGGACCAATCGCGGGAGGGCAAAAGCACAAAACGCGTGAGGCGTGAACACAAACACCCGAACGCATGTGGTTTGGAAACTGCAAATAACTGAATGTCTAACATGCTTTTCTGGCTGAAAAGAAAAGGCAACCAGCTCTGGTTCGCTTCGCCTTGTGGCCAAATGTTGTGTAACACACACTCAAAAACAAACAATTATATATACACACACACAGACAGACAGACAGACAGACATAGATAGATAGATAGATAGACAGATAGACAGATAGATAGACACATAGATAGATAGATAGATACATAGATACATACCTACCTACCTACCATTACATACATACATACATACATACATACATACATACATACATACCATTACATACCAGTACATACCATTACATTACATTACCTTACATTCATACATGGTTCAAGGCTCAAGCCCCGGGTGGTGCCCGTCGGGCGAGCACACGTCGTTGCCCTGTGATGCTGCTGGTGGCTGGCCCTACTTTCGTGATCGTGAGGGCCTCCAAGAGTGTGAACCCTTCATCCGCGGCTATTCCATTGGTGCCTCAACCACCTCTTCCTTGACAACGGCACTGGTGCTGCTTCACTGCATTCGACACGGGCCTGAACTCACTTGAGATTGGCTTGCTTGCCCTTGCTCCACCCTTTGACTGTGGACTACGGCGCCTCTCACAGTATGACCTGGGGACGGTCCTACATGATGGTGCGCACGGGGCACAATTGCTCTGGCGTGACAAGGTTCAGCCTGGTTTTCGATGCCGTGCATGTGGCACATCGTGGCCCACAACTACGAGAGCAGGAGGTAAAGGCACAGGTCAGGCCACACCATGCCTTACTTGCCCAAAACCCACGGCTATCAATGGCCAAAAAAACATCAACATGCTCCTTAACTTAACCTCCACCGCACTATGCCTTCAGCCGCTAAAGAAAAACTCAAACAGCAGCAACTGAGGCCTTGGAGACCTTCTGGAACACCATGGGCGGTCGTGCCAGTGAACCTGACGCCATCAGCACGCAGCTTCTGAAAGTTGCACCGCCTCAAACCCTTCCACAACTCCAGCAGCTTTTGGCACGTCTCATGGCATGAGACAGGAAACCACCCTCCACAATCAGTCCACGTTCTTTAACACCATCGAGGCCACGCGCCTGGAGTATCCTGCGCTCCCACTCTGCCTGGCTACGCAGGTCTACACAGGTCCCAAAACCATCCTGGCGAAAGAAGAGCTCTCGGACTTGAGGTACTGGGCATGAGACAGCGAGCTTTATGTCTTTGTTGAAACACATCTTGATCCTCAGCAGCATGCTTCGATGCGCCAATACTTGGAGGTCAGAGGAAGACTTTTGGCACGCCAGCTCACTTCCATTCCCCTGATCACAATGCATTTGTTCCCTGTACTGAACAGGCATCTCAGGGATTTCAGTTCAAAATAGAATCACGCTCAGACTGACGGGAACAACGGTCCCCTGACGGGACCGACGGGCTTGACGGGCAGACACGTATAGAGGACCATGGCCGAAAAGCCACAAGCCACGCCCATCTGGACTGAAAGGGTCAACAACCAGGATGAAGATCCTTTGTGGTCAAGTCACGTGGATTGATTGACAGAATTTGGAGGCCATGGGACTTCAGCTGCATGAAGGCGTCGATGCCACGCCGCGAGACTACCTATGACCAGCAATCCCAAGGCTGGATCTTTGCGCGGTGTGTCCATGCGCTCAGTCTTGGTGCCCTACAAAGAACTGGTCTGGTCTTGAACGCAGCCCGCAACCTAAGCCCCGCGCCCTCTTCTATGACAGGTCCTTGCCACGCATACCACCGCCGAGGTCAAGGTGATTGTGAGGAAACCTTGTAATTCGACCCACGGCATATGCCTACTCAGAGACCACGGGCTCTTCTCCTGCAAGCTGAAGAAGTCTGTTTTCTGACGCTTGGTCAAGTCGTCAGATCCACTGCTGGGTCTCTTGAGGAGGCCACGCAGCTGTGATTTCTGTTCATCGGAAAGGGAGACTCCCAAATTGGTCACGAAAGTCTCCAAGGCCGCAGGCAGCGGATCAACATCCATGGAAGGATCAAGCTCGTCTGGCTTGGGTCCTTGTCTCCTCCGAGGTCTGCTTCCGTGTCTTCTGGCCTTCATTGAGCTTTTGTTGAAGCTCTTGCATCTTGCTGAGCAGGGCCTGATACTGTCCAACTTCTCCTGGAGCTGTGTCTTTTTGATGAGGCTTGTGCTGAAGAACAAGATGAAAACATACACATAGATACATACATACATACATACATACATACATACATACATACCCACGTCCGTACGTACATACGTCTAATACATACATACATACATACATACATACATACATACATACATACATACACACATACATACATACACACATACATACATTCCATTCCTCTCCGTTGCATTGCATTACGTTACATTCATACATACATGCATACATACATGCCGTTGAATTACATTCCGCTGCATTACAGTACAATACAATACATACAAGCACACACATACATACATACATTCAATCATTCATTCATTCATTCATACATACTGACATGCAAGCAAGCAAGCAAGCAAGCAAGCAAGCAAGCAAACAAACACGCACACACACATACATGACATACACACATACATGCACGCATGCATGCATACATACACACATACATACATACATACATACATGGCTCAAGACATTTGAGGACTCAAGCCGGTCCCATACAAAGCCGGGTACAGGCAGGTTCAGCCATCGGAGGCTAGTCTCGAGATCCTCAAGAGGACTGGACTCTCTTTGCCCGTGATCACACGACCTCACCTTCTTCGCTACCGGAGAGTCGTAGAGATCCACCTTGCGCCTGGCACTTCAACACTGCCATCTGCCTCAGCCAGAACGTGATCGGTGCCCAGTTCTTTGCCCATCTCCTTGCCCCTTACAAGACCAGTGAGGACCTTCACATCAGGGATTGTGACTCTTTCCAAGTCCACCTGGTGCAGAAGTTACGCGGTTGTGGCTACACCAAGTGCCAGAACTGGATATGGAACGACAAGGTGAGGCCCGACACCAGATGCAGACAGTGCGGACAAAGGTGGCCCACTTCGAGCAGCCACCGGGAAAGGCAAAGGCCAGGGAAGGCCTGCACCCAAGCCACATGGGAATCCCTCCACTGATTGGCTGGAAGAACCACATGGTCTGGGACGTCAAAAGGAGGCATCCGATCTTCTCAACAATCCAAGAGAAGCTACAGAACCTTGGCATTGGACCAGCCAAGCCTCCGGAGCCGGATTTGACAGAGATGCTCAAAACACACACGCCCAGCCAGGTGGCAGTCACAGGCCTCACGGCTCCTGAGATCACGGAGAAGGACATAGCCACGAAGCTCAAGGGCGAAGTCTCGGAACTCAAGAACCTGTCCAACGTGGAGCATGTGGGTATACTACCAAGCCTGCATCAAGCTTTTGGGACTCAATGTACCAGTTCCACAGGACGGTTTCTACATAGGGAATGACAGTGATCGCATTTCACTGTTTGCAGCGGTGCCAAATGATGATGCCACGTCATCCGCAGGCTCGGAGCTGCTGCACCTTTTGAAGACATCTCATGTTGCAGGGGAACAGCAACGCATGAGACAACCAGCTCATGGGCAACTTTTGGGAGACACCATTGCAGGGGACACGCAACGTCATTTGAAACCAACACTTGCTTTCACGTTCCAACTGTGAGTAATTTTGTTACATCACAACCCAGCTCACCGGCACATGCTGCACATGGGGTGAGTGGGCGGGACAGGAGAACACTGTGATGGCTCAGCAGCCACCCTATGACTCTGCCACCGCCACGAATCTGCTGATGCAGAATTTGACCATGATAGTCGGCAATCCAAGCCACAAATGCTTTCCTCCAGGAGCACAACATCCAACCATGGGGTACAATCCGGGAGGCTGTGCAGGAAAGCCTCAAAACAGTCGAACCAGTCGACCTCCTACGACTCCCAGGTCTGCAGGACCTATGGCAGCAGCACGACCTCATTGTGCAGGGTGATGCTAGTCACTTCGTCAACACCGTCTGGCTGGCCACCCAATCCGCATTCAGCTACCGCTATGCTGACATCAAACCGGGAGGTTTTCTCAAGGACCACGTCCAGATGCCCATCCACATCGAATACCCTTGGAGTACCTGAAAACGTGACACCGAGCTGGAGGGCCATGTCACCAAACATCATCGTGCGCTCAACCCCCACGGCACCTTTACAGTGCCATGCGCACTGGGTGGCTTGAGCAGGCGAACACTGATATGCCACCGTGGACACAATCACCTCTCTGGCCACTACTATGCCATTTGATGATGGACAACCACCGAAGGTTATCCAGAACCTCACACAACAAATGGCAGGTGACACCATCCAGCTCTCCATCCAAACCTCACACTTCAGGACTCCTCGTGAGATAGCCCGGAAGCTTCCTGCCCCAGAATCACCAGACTTCGATCCACCACTCCATGAGACGCCGCCAAAGAAAGCTCGCCAGATACCCAGGACACCATGTGCTAAACAGGTCATCGAATGGTACTGGGCAAGAGAAAGCGAGCTGTACATCTTCTTCGAAACCCACCTGGACCAACAACAACATAGCAGCCTCTGTCAGTACTTCACTACAAGGGGCAGGCATGCAGTTGGGATGGCAGCCAGCAAGAATCCCAAATGAGGGGGCACGCACGGTGGCATCGTCATCCTAGCCGACGCTGCTGAACCTTCGTCGACAGCTACAGCATTGAGGGGTGCGGCTATGTAGCCTGTCCTTGGCAGAAGAGAGATCGGTCCAAATTCTACTGGCAACTCATTGCTCCACCGGCCCTCCTTTCAGGCTCGGTGCTCGACTACGCCTTGCTTGGTCCACAACCAACTGGCGGGATGCATGCCAGTCCAAACTGAATGGGCTGTGCCCTGGTGACCTCATGCTCTGGTGA